TAAGCAGGGATAGCAGTAAGCATGTAGTAATCCTTGTCTAATCCGGCAGTCTGATGACAGATGGCTATCCAGGTAGCTAACACTAAAGAGAAGGTGCTCTCAGTTACCAAATTCTCAGGCTATTCATAAGGGTAGAATGCATTGCTTACCTAAGGATTAAAACAGACAGTACACCTGTACTCTTAACCATATCCCTGCCATGGCTCCTCTATTACTACATTCTTGAAGGAGCTGGTTTATACCTTATTTCTCACTCCAGTTCCCCTATTTTCATCTTCATGACATCCTTCTGAGATTAGATGAGCTGTGAAAGCAACAGGCCCAAACTCAAGCTGTGATCTTCATAGTTAAGTTACTAAATCCGCAAGAGCACCATGGCAGAGCTGCTAAAACTGCAGGAAGGCTGCAACTCCACACACACTCCCCTCTGGGAGTATAGGCCCTGTGAATTCGCTACAGCAGCCTTCCCCAGCCTCGTGCCTTCCAGACACACTTCCACTGCAACAGCCAGAATTCCCAGTCAATGGCCCTGCTGGATGAGAATTCTGGGAGTTGTGGTCCAAATGCCTCTGAAGGCCACCAGACTGGCGAAGGCTGCATTAGAACTTACTGCTGCAGGATTGCCAAGTTGCCTGAATATCCTGCTGCGTACCACACGGGCTTTCCTACAGAAACATAAACCCAAAAGCAACCAAGGACTGTTACTCCACACCACCAGCCCCTTCACCTGTAGCTTGTACCATTGTACGATTCATCCTCCCATTCCACTCACAGGGCTGGATGAGTGATGCTCTCTAGCTATGGAAGGGACAAGACACAGACCTACCAAATGGAATACAATATGTTCTATTGTATTTCAATGTATTTTATTGTGTTGTAAGCCGCCCCAAGGCTTCGGCAAGGGGCGGCATAGAAATGTAATAATAATAATAATAATAATAATAATAATAATAATAATAATAATAATACACTGCCTAATCAGGCTAATTTCTTTACCAGAACTTCTTTCTCTAATTAATGTTTTTGAGCCTGAAAGTCAGGTATGGCCAACTGGCAGTTCACGGCCTTTGAAGCCGCTTTGCTTGCTGCCCTGTGAATTTTAAGACATTTTCTTACCTATTTTTGTCATTTCTGCAGTCATGCAGATTTCTTGTTATATTGTTGTTTCGGTTCCACCGCTGTTATATTATTGTTTTCCATTCCAGAGAAACAAACAGGCATTGCCAAACGGTGTCTCTTGAATTTCTCATAATGCAAGCCTGTACATGTCTACTCAAAAGTAAGCCCTGCTGAGTGCACTAGGACTTACTCACAGGTATACAGCAGTGGAATCTCCATCCCCTCCTCCCATACTACTAATGATCTTACACTCTGTAGTCTATATACCTAGGTCATGCAAACATGACCGATTCTGCCCATTTGGGAGGGAGCTGGCAGAATGTTTTATGCCCAAGCTACAAGGGGCCCAGGCAAGCTGTGCTGCTCAAAATACAAAAGCCAGCCAACTCTGCTTATCAAAATTCATACACTGCAAAACTGTATTTCATGCTGTATCTACTGCACTGTTGAAACTTAAAAGGCTGATGGGTTGCCATTCCCCCAACCCATTTTTAACATTTTGCTCACCACACTAACACAGAAATTAGGCACTTCTCTTACACTGCATTTTCAGGTTTTGTTTGTCAAGATGTACTAAGAGCTCATATTAAGCTCACTGCTATATTGCAGCAAGTAAGTATACATTTACAATTTAGGAATGCAGCATTGCCCACCCTTAAATCTGCCCCACCCCCTTAGCTGTATCTTATAGGGGGCAGAACTGCATTACCAGATGGGAATGTTTATCTCTAGGATCTGAAAGCTTCACCTGCTGATTTCTACATACCAAGCTGCTCTTAAAGGCTCCACAGCTGGCCAGGCTGTTTTGGAATTAAGGACAAGTATGTGCATTAGTGTTTATTCCTACACTTACAAAGAAAACCAAAGCATACAGGAGAAAACATGCAACCAAACTGCCCACTGATAATTTCCTCTACACTCTCGTGGGAAGAGTTAACCATTCTCTCTCCAACAGCACCTTTGACTTTAAATACCAAGTTCTGTTCAGTGAAAATGAAGAAAGCAAAGGGACATTCTTGACTGACACCTTCTAGGACTCTGCAGGCTCGAGTGACTGGACAGCCATGAATTTATTCAGCGTGGGTTGCATGCCATCCCTTAGCTCTCCCCACATTTTTCCAGAAAGCAAGGCACTGCAGTTTGCAAGTCACATCCAAAATGTCTGTGTGGGGGTCTCTGTATATTGGATCACTTCAAATATGGGTGAGTAGTGAGTACTTGGTCAATCCAGTGGAAAGGAGGACTAGTCTGATTTATTAATTTATCCTATTCCTATGCATTTGCTTGATTTCTCACTCTTCCTCATAAAGAGCCCACAACTCTTTAAGTATTTGTGCAGGAGAGGAGATTTTAGCAAGCCCTGTCTGAACTCTAAATTATCTAAATTTTAAGAGCACAGGAACCTTCTTTTCCTATTCCTCCAGCTGCTACTACTTGCAGTACTACCAGTATTAGCAGCAATTGTATCTTCTGCTGTGACCGAACTACTGCATGTTTGATGCGCATCTTATCCCACGTGAGTCTACCAATAAAAGAAAATCATCATGTATCTAACTGATACTAGACAATATGTGGTTTTCTGGATTCCCATGTCCCACTAGAAAAGTTCCTCTGGTCCTAATCCTTTCAAATACTATTCCCCCAGTCCTTGCATACTGCATACAAAGTCAGCCCCACCCTGCCTCATTATTCAAGATTCACTCATTGGGTATCACTACCACGAAGGTTCCACAATCCAAACTTGCAGTGCGCAATTGCAAGGATGAGATCAGAATGCAAACTGACATGTTACGGCAGGGCTGGGTCCCCTTCAGGTGCACTCCCAGCAGCAAAGATATGCTTCCATATGGTGCAACCTCACATGGCAGCATCCCCTGTGGGACCACCATGGGGGCAGGAACTACTGTGTGCATCCTTCTCCTCCCATCCACACCAGGTGAGTGACAGGTATGTGGCAAATGCCTAGACAACAGGAGCATGCCATTTGTACATGTGCTAGTGCAGCGCACAACAGCATTTATATCCTGCCTTTTCCCTCCTCTGAGATGGCTTGCACAGCTCCATTATATCCTCACAACAACCCCGAGAGGTAGGCCAGACTGAGGGTGAGTGACAAGTCCAAAGTCACCTGCTGAGTTTCATGGCTGAGTGGGGACTGGAGCCTGGATTTCCCGAGTTCCAGTTCAACACTAACTACCCTACTACACCAGCTCGGGAATCACACACAGCAGGAATTATGCAAGCAAGTGGGCCTCCCACTCGTTTGGCTAAAATAAGGAATAGCATGACATGCAAAGTCTGGCAGACTCAAGCAAGGAGATGCAATGACCAGGGAGCAATCAGCCTTGAAGCTTCACCTGTTGAATATGTCTTTTAGCAACTGTTAGACACACCACAGAGGGGGAGAAACCCCCGTGAAACAAACAAAGGTGACATGGAACGCAGCCTAATATCACTCCCCTGCCACCACATCAGGAGTCCAGTACCAGAGGAACTGTAATCGTTCTGGATGCATTAAATCCCGAGGGGGGAAAAGCAGAAAAATGTGTGCGCCATTAGAACGCATACTTGCAAGAGTTTAATAGGGCTAAGTTATGCCTTTGCACTGTTAAACCACCCTGCTGCTTTCAAGGTACAGAGCGGACCATCAAGGGTGGGGGAAATCAGGCCTTCATTATACACACTGCAGAAGGGATGCCAGTTTCCACTAGAGGCAACAAGTACAGGGCAATAACTTTTCCAAGAAAGTCACAATAGTGTGCGTTTTTGTATAGATGCCTGCCCTGTCCTAGGTTCAGTTCCACATACAGGGTGCATTGAAAGCATAGAAGGAAGAAACCTAAGCATTCTCTTACAAGAGTACTATGCCCACTTATGTAGGAGTAAGTCTCATTCGTTCCAATAGGACTTCAGACCAGAAACAGGATTGTACTACTAGTTATCCTGTGTAGACGTCAGCCTGAAACCCTTTCCTGAAAGTGAAGTCCATTAGAACACAGTGGGGCTTAGTTCTGAGCAGGCGTGCAAAGGGGCTGCACCTCATGTTCCCCTTTGTAATTGCAACAAAAGAAAAGCGGACACATGCAAGGGATATGTGATGCACTTAAGGAGATCGCAAGGAAGAAACTTTTACGCTCCAGGAGAAAACACCTTCTTGCTCTGTGTGGAGAGAGGAGAAGGGATGGCTGGCAAAGCATTAACCCTTTCCCATCAGGAGAACTTGAAGTGGTTATCCAACAGAGATTTTAGCTTCATACTTTCTCCAGAGTATCCACCCAGGACAAGTATTACTTTTTATAATGCAGTATCAAGAGCACAACATACATGGAGTGGAAGTAAATCCAGGGAACAGATTCCCTCCCTTTTCTCTCCCAGTATCTGCACATGTGAGCAGACAATACACAAGGTGGCTAAAGGCTACCTAGAAATACTTCCAGAGAGTTTTACATAGAGTACAACCTAAAAGATGCAGAAGGGGCTCTTACCTATGGCTATTTTCTCCTGGCACTACTTTTTCTGTCCTGAGACTCAGCTTTGGCACTGAAAATAGGCCATTTTTGTGTTTATGTTGGCAGACAACAAGTTGTTATCCAGAAATTAAGCACAAAGTTCTCTTAGAGCTCTCCCAAGAGCGCATCGATTGCTGATATGGGACAATTTCCTTTCTGGACATTGGCTGATCTGTATGGCTGTGCCCAGTGGGTTACCAGAGCCAGATGCCTGGACACCATGAACCTAAGAACTACTCACGAATGTAAGGCAGCCTGACCAACCTCGCGCATCTGAGACAGGCACTATGGAGCAATCCCCATGAAGCAGTTTCTGCAGCAAATCAGGTTGCCTGCAGGGCTGGGGCGTCCCATGGCCCTATGTCCCCTTACCTGTGGACTGGATGCTCTCTTGGATAGCTTCAACTTCAGAGAGCTCCATGCACACGCCTTGGCCGTGCATGAGCGTGTGCAAGGGCTTCTCCATCCCCCGCGGTGGATAACATCGCAAGCCAGAGCCGCAGCGAGGTGTGTAGACCCCGCAGGGCATCCCTTTGGCCAGGGCGCAAGTAGCACAGCATCCACAGCCGGGCTCCTGAACCAGCTCCTCGCAGCCGGAAGGCGCCCTGCAGCGGGCCAGCTTCTCCTCGGAACACGGCGGGCACTGGATGGCCTCAAGGCTCACGGCGAAGCCCACCTGGACGAGCAGCAGGAGCGTGACAGGAACCCTCGGAGAGGCCATGGCGGGCGATACTGCACGGCTGCGAAGACCCGCGTGTCGGGCAAAGCGAGCAGCCCGCGCGTCGGCGAGGGGACTCTGCACTGAGGGGGAGAGGAGCTCATTCTTGCACTTTATACCACTCGGTGGCCACACCTCCCCGCTCAGGGGAGAGGCAGAGCGGGAGACGCTGCAGCTGCAACTGCTGCAGCAATCGCAAGTGCTTGCCCCGCAGCTGAGGGAAGACCTCATTTGCCCTGAGGAAAGAAGCGCAGGGAGTTTGCCGCCGCCGCGGCAGCGGCGAAGACGGGGAACTGCGCGGGAACAGGAAAAGAGCGGCGGCGGCGGCAGCAGCCCTCGAGCCACGCTTCTCTTGTTACTTGGGTAAGTTTCGAGCCTGCTTCGCCCCCCGCCTCGGGGACGGCGGCAGAAGCACATCAAGCCACGATCTGATTCAGAGCCCTTCGTTTGAGGCTCCTGCGGTACACGCGTTCTGTTTCGCGAATGTGAGAACGGGAGCGGCTCTGCGTCAGAGGAGCGGTACCTCTGGCCCAGCACTCTTGTCCGGAAGAGCAGCCTGCTCGCACACACGGCCCAACTGTTGGAGTGCCTTCCTAGCACCCAGCAGCCAGGGAGGTAGTGGGGACTCCCTCTCGTAGTTCCACGCTTCCCCAAAAGCGTGCAAAAAAAGATGCATCTTCAACGAACTAGTCTAAAGCAAAGAAACAAGCAAACAAAACCCTTAAACCCCCCACCCCCAGGTTTTGTAGCATTCCTGCTTTGCAAGTGCAATGCAGGCTCACAAAGGACGTGTCCATTGCTTTTCTCTTTGCCGCTGCATGAAGTTCGTGCAAAAAGAAACCTTGTGCGCTTGCTGCGCAGAGAAGGGCAGACACTCCAAAATGTGTGTGACGTTTACCTGCGATTCTTGCTAAGAGATGCAGAAAGCCCCTTTTTGGTCACTCCAGCGGAAGGGCAGAAAAAAGACAGGTGAGTCTGCCATTTATCGGTCAATTGTTGCTTTACTTATTAAATTTATATCCCATTTTTCCCTGCAAAGAACCCAAAGTGCCTTACATAAACCTCTTCTATTTTATTCTCACAACAACAACCCTGTGAGGTAGGTTAGATTGAGAGCCGGTGACTAGCCCAAAGTCACCTAGTGAGTGTCCTTGCCTGTAGCATCATCCTGGAGTGGATGGTGTGTTGGGTGAAGGAGTATTTATTTCTCCCATAAGTTCAGCCAATGGATTTCACTGGATGAACCCAAATTCTAAGGGAGAAGGAATATTCACTCTTTCCACCTTTGCTCAACATTTGTACTTCCTGCTTGGGCCAAAATATGCATTGCTTGCACATGCCAGTGTGGTGTAGTGGTTAAGAGTGCAAGATTGGGACACGGGGTTTGGGATCTGGTCCCCATCCAGCCATGGAGCTCACTGGGTGACCTTGGGCCAGTCACAGACTCTTGACCCAACCTACCTCACAAGGTTGTTGTGCAGTTGAGATTGAGAGGAAAAGGAGGAGGAGGATGTAAGCCACCTTGAGTTCCTAGAAAGTTAAAAGGGCAGGATATAAATATAATGCATACATAAATGTATCTGTAGCCTGGTGGCTTTTTTTGGGGGGGGGGGCTTGAAAAGCCACCTGAAAGGAGTGGGACAAGGGAACTGAGGAAGGTGCTTGTGTGCCTTTGCACTTGGAGCAGAGTGTGGTGGGGGTGCAGATCAGCTGTATTTTAGCACCAGGGAGTGACTGGAAGCCCTGTCACTCTAGAGCCTTGGGCCCCTCGCTTCCCCATGGCTCTCCTGTTCCTCCCTCCAGGACCCTCAGCGAGGGGCGGCCAGCTTGGTTCTTTCCGTGCAGGCTGCAAGGGGATGGGGTAGGAGCTGAGCCTTCTAAGAGCCAGGACTGCAGAGGATCCTGCCCACCCAGACAATGCCAGGTGGCTGTACGGTTGCACCCTTGAATTCTTTCCAATTCCTGTTCCGAATTGCACCACCTTGCATGGTCTTAAAGGCACGATACGGCTCTCAGATGATGTAAAATAAGTAACGTCTTCTATGCTGACAATGTGTAAATTTCTAAAATTACAGGTGCTGAGGCTCAACCTGGCCAAGAGTTTTCTCAACCAGGCACTTTTACTGACAAGCTGAGATGTATGAGAACCAGTTGCGGTTATTTGGTGATGATGAGGGGGAGGCAAACTGAATATCCTCAAAAGCACTCTCTTTGTTACTTCTTTTCCTGTTCCAGGACTTGGCTCTGGCACTGGAAATAAATTCCAGGACAAACCTTTGATGAGCCCTGGTTTAAATTAAGCACTGCTTTTTAGACAAGTTGGCCAGATGCAAGAGAGGACGGGGCTTTGGCCTGTACCCTTAATTGTTGTGTAGAAAAGGGAGTTTTATTATTACTCTTGCATGGTTTGGATTTGTAGAGAAGCATGCCAGTATCTAGCTTTTGCAGAACTCCTCTGCTTGATGTAGAGTTCTTGGAAAGTTAAAAGGTTGCATATGCCTCCCTCAACTTAAGCTGCTCCAGCAAAAGAACTCTATTTTTATCAAGGGTTTATAATAGTTCACAACACCGAAGCTGTTCAGATTGATCTTATGCATGTTTACTGAAGAGCCAAGCCCTGCTTTGTCCCAAGGAGCCTACTCCCCAATAATTGTGCCCAGGACTGTTGATTTTGTATCTCCCCTTGCCCTTCAAACCAGACATGTAAGATTTTTCCCAAATTATAGAATGATAACCTGACTTCTAAAGTTTCCTGAGGGTATAGCTACAGATTGACTGGGTTTGCATGACACCCCACCATGGCTCATCATGGCTTATTTAAGGGTTATGCAAGGGTTAAATGACCTCTTCTAGGGTTCTGTGGGGGCCAGGCTCACATGAGCACCATAGTGTTTTGCTGAGCATTTTGTGGTATCCCTCCATGGTGGAGAAATTGGCCAGAATGCTCATTTGCATGACAAATGCCTCTCTCCTGCTTTTCACTTCTTCGGGACAAGTGAAGCGCCATGTTTCAGTCCGTGATTACCATTTCTTCCCCTGATTTGCTGCTTGTTCAGACTTGGGGTGTGAGGGGTGTTGGCAAGAGAGACTACAGTGGGGCAAAGAGGAGGAGGCAGCGGCCAAGCTGTGTCAGGCATGTGCCCACCTACACGTGCCTTGTGCAACCTCCAGTGACCCAGGGCATGGCTCAGCGCACATCAGTGCACAACTGAGCCAGGGGTTTATCACTTGCTCACATCTATCCCTGCACAAGAGCCCGGGCTGGATTCCAAAGCGCCTTACAATTCATAAAGCCAGGAAGGAATGGGGAATCGGAGCTTGCTTTGAAACGCCAAAGGGCCATGATACGAAAAGCCGTGTTATCAAGGGAAGAAACTGATGGACCTTGAAGGAAGAACCTGTTGCAAGAATGCACTGCAAAGCCCTTGCTTTTCAAGTCATGCCAAGCCAGATATGGGACTACTTGGAAAAGAGGGTGACAAGGGAACAGCCTGGTCTAGTTTTCACTCCTTTGTTAGGAAAAGTGCACACTCAGTGTGCATCCCTATTGCCTCAGCAGTCTTACTTTTAGCTGCACCCTTCAGGCGGATGGGCAGCTTTGGTGCTAAGCTGGCTGTAGCCCCCGGGCACAGCTTTGGACCCACTTTGGGGGCTGGTGGAGGAGGAGCTCCAAGTTTTTAATTTCAAAAACTGGCAACCTTATATTGGCCAAAATTATGTTGGTCTCTTAAAGAGAAGGCTTCCCCATTTTGCTGCCAAAGAAGGCTACAAAAGAATCTATTCTTATGCCAATACCAAGCCCACAGTCCCTTTGATCACACATGTATTAAATATGTATGAATATCAGCTTATTAACAGTCATACCGTGCCCACATTTAATAACAATATTCCTTTAAATAACTTCCAATAGAGTTTCCCAGTCTTTTCCATTCTCTGATAGCATTCAGGAGCAGACCACTGGTGGATCTCCAGGTGTTTTGACCTACAATTCCCATCATCTCGCACTATTGACTATGCTGACTGGGACTAATGGGAGTTGTAGGCCAAAGCAGTTGGAGGGCCACAAGTTGCCCACCTGCTTTAAATACAAAATATTATCCAGCTGGCTCCCATTCTTCTCTTGCCCAAACGAAACCAGGTAAGCTACCCCACTGAAAATCTGCCCAAGGGCCAGTTGCAGTGGGAAAATGCAAACAGCTGAAACTGATGTGGCAATTGCTTTTTCAGTATCTGTTTATACTCTGAATTATGTAGGCGCACGGTGCCAGCCTCCAAGTCTTTGCGAATGGTGCCCTCATGTGGTTCTTACAGAGTACTTCTTAGCTTTGACACAGATCTGGGCAGACTCCTCTAACTCCAGAGAAATTAGGGAGGAATTCCAAGGTAAGTAGTTAATTCAGTGTTCAAGCACTGGTATAATTTCAGGTATTCCTCATACATATATATAAAAGAACAACAACGAATTCACAACAACTAACACTCATCCTTCAGAGTTACACAAAATTTATGTATCACAACAACATGGAGCAAGGACTGGTTGAAGAATGGAAGAATATTCAGCAGGCTGGGAAGGCAACAAGCAAGATGTGGAACATCAGCAATGGCATCTGAAAGAAACTTCCCTGTTGCCCAGGATGGGTGATGCTCAAATCTGCAAATGATTATACTTCCAAGTATCCCAATTGCATCTTTAGATCACACAAATTGAAAAGATTTCATAGACAAGCTGATGATAACAGTAGTTCCGTGTTCAATGCAGAATCAAGGTGGGAATAGGTGTAAGTCGTAATAATAACAGTAATTTATTTGCAAAGTATCTCACAGACCAGCAATTCATTTATTTCTTTTTAAATTTGATTTGATATCTCTCCTGCCCATTAGCCAAAATGACTCTCTGGGCAGGTTACAAAATTTAATATATATAATAAAACATGATATACATTACCAATTTCAGTGGTACCCCGTCTCATGAACTTAATCCGTTTCAGGACTCTGGTCATGACCCAAATTGGTCCTGAGCCAAGTTAAATTTCCCCATAAGGTTCAATGTAAATAAGGTTAATCTGTTC